ACTATTAAGCTTTTAAAATTAATACTCCCTCCATTCTAAAAGAATGTTTTATATTTGATTTTAAATTTATCTTAATTTATTATTATTATTTTATTTTTTAGGTAAATAAATATTTTTTACTTTAATTTTATCATTATTTATTTTAATTAATTATTTTATTAAAAATATTATTTTATCTTTCAACTTTTTAAAGAATAATATTAACAAATATATGAATTGTTCTTAAATAAATAAGAAAATAAATAAACAATAAGAATTCAAAGAAACAATAAGAAAATAAATAATAATAAATAAATCAAAATTTATGAGTCATGATGTGGTAAGTCATTTAAAATATTAAAATATAAAATTTATATTATTTAATAATTTATTTTTTTATTTTTTTAAATTCATAATATTATATATATTAACTAATTTAATAACATAATATATATCATATAATTAATTCTAAATTTTTAATAATTAATTTTTTTATTTTTTAAAATTCATAATATTATATATATTAATTAATTTAATAACATAATATATATCATATAATTAATTCTAAATTTTTACTCCCTAATTGTCGTCACTCATATCATTACTTATAAAAAAATTATAGTTATTTTCAAATAAAAGTTTCACATTTTATAATTTAAATGGTAAGTGGCTTGTTCCAGTTTAAGCAAGATTTTAAGTTTGAGATCTTGTGTATGCAGCAGTTTTTGCTGGGAGACTCACCTATCATTTTTAAGTGCACGACGCGGGTCGGGTCCGGATTAGTCAAGGCGAAACCTCGGTTACCGGACGGAAAACCAAAAAAAAAAAAAAAGCTCTTAATATTAAAAAAATTTTTACCATCAAATAATTAATATTTTATAATTTAAAATAATATAAAATATAAAACACTTTTTCTTTTCTAAACGGAGCACCTTTTTAAAAATTTTTAAAATACTTTATACTTATCATGATACATGGCCATTTCTATTGCTGCCAAAAGATTCTCCATCATTCTTTTTGTTTGTTTCGCTAGAGTGATTAGACATAAAAAAATCAAACCCATGATATTTTCTTTTTTTATTTTTTTTTTAAACTTTAAGATTAACCACTCTGTTTTATTAAGGTAGTCGTTGTGGAGAGATTAAAAGATGATTAAGACAAATAAAACAGATTTTAAGAAAAGACCAAAGAAACAAATTAAGAAATTTAAACAAAGCATGTCACGTCATGATCCCGCTATTGGGATAAGACCACTGACAATCCACTAGTGATTGCTGCTGCGTGGCCCATGTGATATTGGGCCCCTTGGTAACTTGTAAATTATTGTCCGTACTTTCTCATATCCCATTTTTCCACCTAGGAAACAGAGATTGGCCCAGCCTGCTTTTTTAAAAGGCCATGGCCCTTTGTGCTTACATTTTGCAGGTGCCAGGTGGCCGCATTAGGAAGACAAAGGCCTCAGAGAAAATACAATTTAGCGGTTGGGATTAAATAATTATTTATTGATATTTTGTGATCTTGCTATGAAGGTATCCTATGCAAGTGTTTTCACAATTTCTCTCATTGTTGAGATTCGAAATCTCTCCTTTTAGCTATTGATACCTAGGACTTCTTAAAAAAAAAAAAAAAAAGTTGTCCACACTTAAAGACAATTTGTGATCTTTCATTTTAATAGAGGACATTTAAATATATAGATTCAAATTTGGGCCCTCTCTTTCGCTCCCTCTTATTTGAAGAAATTGCATTTAGAGGAGAAGGATTGATTTATTTTGGCAAATAAAAAGATTTGAATGATAAAATTGAATTAGGTAGAGCAAACTTTCTTTCCTTTCTCCCCCCCCCCCAAATAGGGAAAGGGTAGGTAAATTTTATTTTTATAATTTTTTATTAACCTTTTAGAATCTGATAAATACATTGAGTCTCAATTAATTCTGAATTAAATCACATTGGACCTCATAAGGAAAAAGCTCTTGTAACATTTATATCTCTATTTACAAAACACGAATTTAAAATCTTATTTAAGAAAAACCAAATTCCTTTCATTCGAATCAACAAATTTGTTTACTTTTGTAACTTATGGTTTGTGACATGTGTCACTTATCGCCCTAACTTAGAAAAAGGTGCACTTAAGGACTTAAAACATTATAGGGTTGAGCAAAGTTCCCTTTTTCCCTTCTTTATGTATTTAAATTACAACTCCCATTATACATGTTGATTAGAGTTATCTTTGTTATAGTTTGGATGGTAAAAATGAATCCCAAAATAAAGAAAGGTTAACTCTCGGTACTAGGATTTATTCGTATTTAAAATGTAATTTAGTACCAATTAAATTTTATACAAAATATTTTACATTGATTATTGAGTATCAGAAACTCATATTACAAACCAAAATAAAATTAGATATGCAATAGTACTCAAGTCTAAAATATTAATGTTTTATGTTTGAAATTAAAGCCTCGTACCATAAGGCCAAGTTGCGATTGAAGGTGACACAAAATATTTTGCAAAACCGTTATCAACTTGGGACACAGTTTTGATGAAAGATTAGAACAAAAGGAAAGGAAGGCGCATCATAAGTACCGGAACCAACAAAAAGGCATCACAACGCAAGGAGTACAAATGCAGTATCGGGGAAGCTAGGAATCAATTGCAGATAAGAGTCAATTGAGGAATGTCTCTATCTGATCAGAAACAGTGAAATTAGGTCGTCATGATTTCTTGTGCACTGGGGCGTGGCATCAAAAAGTGGCTAAAATGAGTGCGAATCGGGGCATCATGTTTAGCTTTTGCCCTTGCACTTTTATTACGTCAAAGGGAAGACTCGCAGCCTTAAGGTATCTCAATTAATAAAGATTTTATACATTAAATATCTTATATTTAACTTTTTAATTAATAAATTATCAAAAATTATTATTTACTATGTAACTTATTATTACTAAATGTACTAACACGAAAATATCATGTGAAATAACCAAACTTTACAAATTGTTCTGGGACTGTAAATCTATTTATTAGTATTATTATTATTTAATTTGCTAATATAGAGGTACCGGAAAGCGCGGTGGCTTAGGCGGCGGATTCTGCACCTTTACAACGACCTTTTCCGGCCGTTGCGACTCACACGGACATGGCAATGCTATGAACTTCGGGATCTGATCCCCTGGCATCAGTACCGGCAAGCTATGGCCTTGAATTTTCTTGGATTCCTGGTTATTTTAACAAAAAAAATGTAAGCCGAATTCAAACTAGAGTACTCGAACTTGATCGGAGGAGGAAGAGGAGACTTACCGATAATGATGAGTTAGAATTCGACACCGGCGACGCCTCAATATCTCCATCGAGATCGGCAACGTCTTCAGAGAAAGACTGACGGAGAGACCTGAGTTTGTCCCAGTGGTAGCAGCAAGAGAAGATACCGCTCAAGCTGAAGATGATGATCAAGAGAAGTGCGGTTCCGAGAGGGAAGCCGAGTGACGGCCGAGACGCATCCAAGTGCAGCGGCGGCGGAAGATCCGGACTCGCCATGGAATATTCTCCTCTGTGCCGAACTCTGTCGTCCTTGTCTCATATGCGTGAAGAAAGAGGGAGAGAAGAGAGAACCAAACGGCGGAGCGGAGAATGCAATGTTTTATGCGGAATTAATTAGAGCGAAGAAATCTGGGGGCAATTGTGAGGGAAGGACGGGGGTGGATTTATAAAATGGAGAAAGTGGGGTGTGAGGTGTGAGGGGTTGTGTACGTGTAAAGGTACAGCTTAAATGTCCGAGCCACCGTACGGATTGACATGGGGCCCATTTGTTGGGTTGCTGGGCAAGAAAGCCCAACCCTATCAGCCGTTGTTTTGGAACTGGGGTGAATGGTGGAATCCTGGAATGGAAGAAGAAAAGGTAGTGGAATGGTAAAGTGCACTTGTACTCGGTAGTCTGTCGAGTTCAGGTGGTATTGCCCAAAAGGTAAGGGGGGAAGGAAAGGTGAAAGTGCTAAACATAAGATAAAAAGGGTCAATGAGCCACTTTGAGGGGCAGAAAAATCAGCCCTATGTGTTTTGAGTGCTTCTCATCAATCTATGGGCAGTACCAAACTACATCATTGTAGTGGTTTGTTTCTAGCACGATCTACAGTATACTAACTTAAGTGTCATGACTGTTTATCCTAGAATCGATTTGGATCTTTGTATGATTCATCTAGTCTTTGTTTGGACTATCTAACAATTCACATCAACAATTACTATTTTAGTATGAATGTTTCTAACACATTATACATGTGGAGATTTATGGATATAGTGAAAACATATCTTTAAGTCAAGCACCTAATTGCTGTTAAAATAAATAAATAAATAAATAAGCAATTATTTTGGTATGGAAGATCAGGCCTAATTAGGGCAATGGAATGTGATAGCTTAATTAATAAGGATGGAATAATAGAGCATTTTTCTTAAATCACAAACTTTTTTCCTCCTCTTTTTCCATAAGAAGTCACTGGACTCTCTGGTCCTACTAGATGTGGATGTTGTATGCATACCATAGTAGCCTTGCCTTCTGAAGCTCCTAAAAGCCAAAATTAAACCAAAAAGAGAGAGAGAGAGAGAGAAAGCAACGTGACTAAAACAAAAAGAAATAAAAGAGGAGTAATTTCATTTCTTGTCAAACAAATCTCTCATTATTTTCCCTCAAAGAATTAATAAAGTGTAATATAGTAGTAAAGTAAGACTCGAGGAAGATGTAGGAAAATCTTTCAAAATAAAGAAATTACCAAAATTTACTACAAAAATTAAAAATTATTATGTAGTTTGATTTTTCATATATATAGGTGTGATTGAAAGCAAAC